TGTGTTCTGAGTTCATAAAAGTTAATGAAGTAACATTTTGGTTGACTACAAAAGTCTTGTTCAGCATTTGGTTGTACCAAAAGACCTAGCATTAGAATTATTACAGTTACCCATAGCTATAAATGTGACATGCTAACTAGGCTAGCAGATAGCGATAGGGACATTTCATTCAACTATCTTGGACCAGGTCCAAAAAACCAAGCAGTCGAACATCATGTCACGATGGCTATGTTCACAATTTTATACAGTCTATGGTAAATAGGGAAGCTGTCTATTTCATTACTTTATATTAATGTAATAAACAAATGTAATGTATGTTTATTTCAGGACATCACCTTGGACTTGAGGGAATTGAAACAGGCATTTCTCGCTATTTCCACACTTTTTATTGACAAAACGGTTAATTTATTAATCTAGGGAATAATCCACAGATAAATCAATGATGACTAATTGCTAGTTGCAGCCCTTGAGACATCTAAAGTGGCGTCACTAAACTTCAAAGTCTACTCTCCCTTTATACTCCCCCTTTTTGTTTTAGCCCAAGATGTCAATGAATGGTAAAATGGATGGTAAATGGACTTGCACTTGTGTAGCACCTTTCTAGTCTTCCAACCACTCAAAATGCTTTTACACTACATGTCACATTCACCGATTCACACACACAGATGGGTTAGTCTTTTGGTAGCGACAACCATCAGTGCAACTACGACTTCTGCTGCTGCCACTTTGAAAAACATTTCTGCCAGAAACTTTGTTGTTATGAGAACTTTGTGTCTCTAAGTCTGCCTCCTCACTGATGGCCACACAAGGTGCCACCTGCTACTCGGTTAAATATTCACACGCACTCACACACTGATGGCACAGCCCAAGGATACTTCGACAGACTGGAGGACCTAGGAATCAAACCAAGGATCTTCCGATTAGTGGACGAACTGCTCTACCTCCTGATCCACAGCTGCCACTACAATTAAAATCTATTGTATGGTGTGTGTCTGTTGACTGATCCCTGTTCACCAGCTACTGTGCAGCATGTAAGAGGTGATGGGGGACACTCTCTTTTTCCATCTTTACCCCTCTCCACACCTCCTCTATGCACCCACAAAGAAAAGAAACTAATATTTAGCACATGGCGTTTACTGCTTTAGCTCTGTTATTGAGGTATTAATGTTTACAAAGTAATAAACACAGAGAATTAAATGCCTGCCATCAAAATCATCCAACTGTCATATATCAAAGAGGACGACTCTGTGTGTGTGTGTGTGTGTGTGTGTGTGTGTGTGTGTGTGTGTGTGTGTGTGTGTGTGTACAGCAGATGTTCTGTGCAGCCTGTAAGACAGCAAGCAGTATCCTGCAGCTGATACTCTCTCTGGACAAGCTGACTGACTGACAGGTGTGCGTGTGTGTGTGTGTGTGTGTGAGAGAGAGAGAGAGACTGTGTGTTCCTGTGTGTGTTTGTGTTTTCTAGTGTGTGAAGATGGGAGCTTGCTTTGCCTCCAGCAAATCAATGTCCCCTTGAGGGAATGTGGAACCTGAGACAAAGAGCGAGAGAGACTGAGAGAAAGAGCAAGCCCTGGGCAAACACATTTTGCTCTCTTTCTCCTCTCCAATCTCAGCATCTTCACTCACAGAGACTTTATACATTTTCCACTAAATCAGTGCAGATGCTGAACTGGTGGGAAATTAACACGTGCCAGCAGCCTTGTGTCGATCAGGGTAAGAAACTAAGAGCTGGCTCCTTCACGTAACCTGCCCCAGTGTTTCCGGAGTCATAACACATTAAGACATGTTTTACTAACATGGATTCCCAGTTACATGGTTATTTAAATAAAAGAAATAATGTTAAATTCACTTTTATTTAAAAGACAAAAGAGCCTGGAAGTCTGTCTGAGCCTTAAGGTGTGATTTGTTATCCAAGTGTAGCCACTCTTTCAATCCAGTCATTTTTTTAAAAGTTGTTTTTCAGAGGTTATTTGATGCTCTGCACCTTAGCTACAAAAACTGCTCCCTTGCTGTGAAGAAGAGTTAACTGCATACACACACTTCACTCTAAGCCCACCATACCATATCACTGTCTCACTGTCAGTTGCGCATGCTGTCAAATTGTAAGATACGATTAAAGCTTTGGAGTTGAGTCATTCTGGAGTAACAGGTTCCAGAGTGCAGACGGTTTGGTTGTTATAAGGGTGGCATATAAAAGAGGAACTAATTAGCTCATCACTCAGGCACACCATGATTTAAATATGTATTTACTGCATACAATTTTAGCCACGCTAGCAGCTTAGCTCTGGAGATGGTTATGTCAGTCTATTGGTCAGTTTGTTCAGTACTCTGTTGCAGACTAAAATATTCAACAACTGTTGGATGGATTGCCATGAAATTTGGTACACACATTCATGTCCCCTTCAGGATGTATAGTAACTTGGATGATGCACTGACAACATTTCAATTTGCCCAACACTTTGGTTTATGGCTAAATATCTCCAAAACTAATGACAATTCCAACAGTCTCATCTGCATTTGGCGCAGATAATTAGCACTAATTATCAAATGCTAGCATTCTAATATACTAAACCAAGATCAGAATATGGTAAATATTAGGACTGTACTCGACTCAGAATTTGAATATTCGACTGTTTGTTGAATGAATGCTCCTCCACTACTTTCAAAGACAAGTTTGTTTATTTCATTCCATATAATTATATTTATTCCATTTAAAGTGTACAGTATCTATACTTCCATCGGTCAATAATGTCAGGTTTCGACAGGACATTTAGGGTGAAAGCAACGTCCACGTCATACAGTAAACAACCCAAGTTAGCCCTCCGAGCTAATGCATGCTAACTACACCAACAGTGTGCAACATTTTGCAACATCAGATATCAAATAAAAGCCAGACTACATCCAATTAAGTTGCTGTGAGCTTTAAATACTCCACAGAAGATAATGTTATGTTGATGCCTGATCAGGCCTTTCTTCCTCAAGGCAGCTGCCTCTCTTACTCTTACTAACCGTGAGTCTGGATCTGCAGTTGCCTGTACCAGAGAGCAGAGTGAAATCGAGGAGTGTTTACGCTGATGCTTATTCTGGAGGCCGAAAAGTCCCCAGAGGTACACTGCACACTCACTGACAAAGAACAACATCTTCTGCTTTCAGTGGGCAGCCCTTAGTAAATATCATACCATAAACTTATCACTTGATACAAATCAGCATGTTAGCATTGTCATTGTGAGCATGTTAGCATGCGTTAGGCTGTTGGACAATCCAAGGCATCAGTTTTGTACTGAATGGTCATCTCAGAGCAGCACTACAAAATAAAGCTACACAGCAAAGACTCGGTTCCCTCATCCATTTATTCATTTATTCATTCATTCATTCATTCATTCATCCATCCTCCTGCACAGCTGATACTATCTTGATACACTGTCTCTGACTGGATAGAAAGGGACGGCCCCATCTCCTCATATTACGGCATTTGTAGCCTAAACCACAATGCTGCAGTCAAGGAAAACTCAATAAAACAGAAAAAAAACTTCAGATAAATGACATTTTAGACATGACCTTGTTCCAGAGAGGAACAATGCAAATATTTGTGCGTGCGTGTGTGTCCGGACATGAATGCTCCTCTAGTACTTTCAAAGACAAGTGGGACTTCAGTAGAAATTAAATAATCAATGAACTATCTGACAAAAACCTTGGATGGGTTGAAAAGGTTGACTCCCAACTTGTATGATTCACTGACACTGTCTAGACAGCAAGAATGTCTCTCTATTCAGTGCAACATTCAAAGAGTGTTAAAAGCGTGATAAAAAAAAAAAATACCCTCCTCAGAAAAAAAAGAAGCCAAGGCTAAGTCCAACGTCTCAATGATGTAGTATAAATGCTTCAACCTCCACTTCAAAACCACTCACACAAGTTGCCCTGCACTGTCTCTGCAAACAAAGAATCTCATAGCCAATTTATTTAGGGGAAACATGGATAGACAGATACATTTACTCCATGGGTGTGAGCAGAAATGAAATAAATCTTACCAGGGAGTATAGAGAGGAGCACTGAAAGTATAATCATCTACTGGCTTGTCAGACGCATCACCGGACGATACCACTGGTGATACAATCCTATTATTACACACTGGCACTATAAAACCAAATAAGCCCTATCCACAGAGCTGCTCCATATGTGGTGTGGATGTATATATACATCTTTTTGCACATACGTGGGTGTGCATGCATTTCATTGTGTGCTCAGCAAGACCTATCCCGATTCCAGAGCGTAGAGCGAAAACAAGTGGCTAAGTCAAATCAGACATGGAACCGTCCTTGGCGGTGGTACTCATACATACAAACAGAAACTCTAAGTGTTCTCTTTCAGCCGTTGGCGACTGGGAGAAAGAGGAGAACAGAAAGACAGCTTGCATATTCATTCGAAGAGAATTTATTTATTTATTTACCCTCCGTCTTTCTGTGCTAGAGTACCCGTCTCATCTCCAAGGGGGGTAAAGACATAAAACATGTGACGCATTTACAGGGAACATTCAAGATCAGCAATTCCTAGAATAGAAAATAACCATCTCTCCTTCTCTTTGTCTCTTAAGTGGCAGTGGAGTGTGTGTGGGGTAAAAAAAAAAGCCACATTGTGGCTATAGTGTAATGAAGATATACTATACAGAGGATAAACGTCCCTGTGGACAAGCGGGCATCGAAACAGGTCCTTGAGGCACCCATATGTTCCAGTTGTATGTGATTAAATCCTGTTTCAGGCTGGCCAATACCAGACCATTTTTATCCTGTCTTCTGTGTTCATGGTTGTGGTTCTATTATGTCTAGCCCATATTTACACAAACACCACACAGAGACGCGTGTCATTTTTTAACTATTTGTCTTCATTTGCTTTGTTAGAGCTCAATATATCTCCACTCAAAACTTCCAAAATAATTACACTGACGGCACTTTTGCATTTTACCGAACATAACACAGTAAATTAATACAAATACACATGTTTACCTTTGATTGTTTTCTCTCCCTGGGATGCGATCTCCTGATGGGTCCATGGGGGAGTGGAGCAGGTTGAGACAGGAGGCCAGGGACTGGCTGGAGTCTTCTCTGGATACTGCGAAAACACCAAAACACACATACAGTTATTATATCACATTGAGTCTCAATTTTCAGACACTTAAAATTTAGGGCTGTCCTAATTCCGAAAACCATTTTTGGGCACTGAAGCCTCAGTAGTGATCAACAGTGAATATTCAAAGTTTAACATTTTTAAATGTGCATGATAACAGGCTCCTGACAGAGCACTGCGAGACAGAAGCAGAAGAAGCAGCATAGTGGCTCCAACAAATTTAAGATTTGAGAATTATGTTTAAAATGTGATAACCACCGTGCAGTGGTTAGCATTGTCACCTCACAGCAAGAGGTTTCGTGGTTCGAACCCAGGGTGGGGGAGAACTTCTCTGAGGAGTCTGCATGTTCTCCTGTGTCAGCGTGGGTTTTGTCCGGGTACTCCAGCTTCCTCCCACAGTCCAAAGACATGCAGGTTAACTGGTGACTCTAAATTGTCCGTAGGTGTGAATGTGAGCGTCTGTCTCTATGTGTCAGCCCTGTGATAGTCTGGCGACCTGTCCAGGATGTACCCTGCCTCTCACTCAATGTCAGCTGGGATAGGCTCTAGCCCCCCACGACCCCTAACAGGATGCATGGTTACGGAAAATGAATGAGTCCTGTTAACACACGTCAGATGCAGAGCTGAAGGAGTGTGTGTGGAGCCACCGTTCTCCTGGCAAACAATCAATTCAATGTCTGTCAGGTAGCACAAGCTAACAGCAGCAGCTGCCAACATCTAACACACAACAAAGTCACACACACTGAAATGGTTCGACTGTTAGTAACCGTTAGGTAACATTAGCTTTTAGATGCTAACAGTTAGCCCTATCACTGTATGTGTGCGCGGGTGGACTCTCACCAACGGCCATAGACAGACCAAAAGAGAGAGACATTTTTTACCTATTTTAAATATATAAAAAAAGGAAAAACAATATGTGGCCGTCACAAACAAATGAATGCATGAAAAACTATTCTAAAAAAAAAAAAAAAAAAGGAATATCAAAATCCCCAAATTGAAAACCAAATTCATGCCCAACAAATATCCAAATAGTTAAATATTCAGGTCAAGCACTATTAAAATGTGCCGATGTACCTAGCTTGACCACAACTAATATTACAAATCAGAGATAACAACTCTCTACTTACATCTCCTCCCTAATTAAATTGGAGCCATTAAAACAGTGCTCACGTCACTAAGCAGCTTATTAAAACTCAGTAGTGATGGGTTTGAGTAATGAATACAATCAGTTGTTAAAAAAAATGATAAGTCTGCCTTTAATGACACATTTGACACAGCCATGTGGAAGAGTCTGGAGCAAAAACTTGCGGCGAAGCCAAGGTTTGGCATTTCTTCATGTCTTTGTAAAGGTCCCGCTGTCTCTCTCTTTCTGTCCCTGTCTGATTCCACAGGGCACGAGTCACAGTTGGATTAGGAACACAGAGCCCTGCAGCTGAACACTGTTGGCCATAAATTGCTGTAAAACTGCTTGCTTTTTAATAAAGGCTTCAACAAGCCACCTGAGAGAGGTAAAAATAAGGAGCGCCGATGAGAGTTGTGCGGGTGTGCAGGGTGGGTGTGTGTCCAGTCGTGTGCGTCCGTCTGTATATACCCTTGTATGAACGTGTACATGTGTCTAATCTGTATGCTTTGTGTGTTCTGCCTGAATAAGTGTGTGGAGGTGTGTGTGAGTATTTAAATTAGTCCCTTTAATTTGAGTGTGTGGAAGAGCCTTACCCTCCCATCGCCAGCACAAAGTCTTAGTCCCTTGACTTTATGAGAACAATTCATCAAACCTTTAATTTCATGCTACAGCCTGCAAACCATTAGGTCTAATGACTAAGCATGCATGCTTGTGTGTTAGTGTGTGTATTATTGCCGGTGCCTCCTTTTGCTCTGCACCAGCCAGTGCCTTCAGAGGTGTTTTAAATCTGTGTGCGTGGGTGTGTGAGTGCTTAGTTCAAGCCCACCCTCCCTCCCGAAACTCTCCAACCCCCATAAGCACAGGAAATTCAGTTTATTAGGGCTGAAGCTCCTGTTGTAATCTTTACTCCACAGTGCTGCCGAGCATTTTACTTTATTTGACTGCAACTGTAATATTCTCCGAGTCCATCTGGGAGTTAGAGATAGATGAATTTAACCTCACATTTATATATACTTCGACTCAGAGATCTGTTAGATAACAGCCAAAGCAAAAAGTGTTCACACACATTATGAGAGCAAAGCTTAGAGCCAGCGTACCCGGTCTCTATATTCACAGGCAAACATGTAGAGGAAGGGGATCACATTTCAAGCTCATGTTTGGTTTCAGTTGATTATGATCATTATACTCATGTATCATACACCATCTGTCCAAATCAGAGTGTGCATTTGTGTCTTTGCAGTTTGATGTTTGCTTGTAATATGAAGCAAATATTTGCAATCTGAAACATAATCAATGCTGACAGTATTTGCAATTTTGCCCAATTACTACAATGCTCCTGCGAGGAATGATTAAATAAGAACAGTCAATCAGAGCCATGCTCACTTCACTACGTCTACTCACAACAGTAAAATATCAAATTCCCTCATATGTTAGGAATTTACACACGAATGTGTTAAGCAAGATTTTATTAAGTCCCTTAACACATTGACTTGTGTTGCGGTTACAGCCGCCCAACACACTCGTTAAATATAATAGTTTCCCTGGTGTGTTATATGAAAGGAGGTTGGGGTTACTGTGTTTGGCACTCCAGTCTGCTCTGTGCCACAGCACAAGCAATAATTCTCCTCTGACAGTCACTCTTCAACCATGAGGCATGTCAGGAGGAGTGTGACTGAAATGCCAAAACAACAGAGGAGATAAATCGCTGTAAATGAGGCAGCTACATCAAAGTCGTGGCACATGTTAAAAGAACCAGGGAGAGTGCTGGTTTCATGTTTTTAGGGTGATGGAGTAGAGGTGGCTTTAATGAGGAAAAAGAGAGGGAAGGGAAATGGAGAGGGGCTGAAGAGAGGAAAAGTAGGAAGAGAGAAGGAAAAAGAATCAGTGACAATTAGGAAATATGTGGCAGATGTCCACTTGAATGGAAGGAGTGACAGATAAAAGGGAAGGGTTTGCATGTGACAGATTTTCTCTCTTGATCTGAATGATCTCGTTCCAAAAACCCTTATTACCCTTCCGTCCAGAGGAAAAGCCACACAATGATTCTGGAGAAAATTGACCTGAAAATAAAAAAGCAACAGACACTGTGTATGACCCAGCTGTGTAGTGTCGAATTCTGTGTTTACCTGCAATAATGTAGTAATTGACCTTTCACTTAGCCCCGCCCCTTTGTGAGGGTCCGACAAGCTGTTGCAGTAAGCATGGAGCCCACACTGTAACTAACTGCACTCCCTGAAGAAATATTATCATATTTTTGGAAAAATGAAAGAGTGATTCCAGAGAGAAGCAGACAGAGGGGTCTACAGTCCGTGTTTGAAGGATATATCCAGGATGTCAAACTGACTCAGCAGCAGCAACAGGTTAAAAAGACAAAGATAGTTAGAAGCTAAAGCCGAACTATAGGCTACAGATCACAGTGTAAAAGTGAACCACCACATCACTGCTGATCGCCACACAAGACAATGAATATAAAGGGAAACTTTGCTGATATTGAACCAGCTGTGTGGCATCACAGTGTGTGCAGATGTACAGTGTTTAGCTTCGAACTCTGCTGGAAGTCAAACAACATTCATCTGCGCACAATGTGATGACACACAGCTGGTTGAATATCAGCAAAGTTTCCCTGCTTCCCTTCACTGGTTCCTGTACAGCAGGGTTGGTCTTTGTTTCACTGTTATAATCATTAAAAAGCAAAAGCAGCATGTGTATACATTCAGTAGGCTATATCTTCAGTAGCTAGCTAGCTAACCCTACACTTTTCAGGGTTTGATTTTGGTTTTGGAACTGGGAAGAAACGTATATCTTTTTCCAGCCTCTCCAGGTAACGAGTATCATTAATACACGACGTGCCCTAGTGCATGTGAAGCATAAAGACCTCTTTTTAGAGATGCACGTTAAGTGGTGAAAAAACTGAAATTACCATGTCGATGTCGCTGATCATCCGAAAGGTCCAGGTCCAACATAAGATCATCTTCATCCAGCTCTGACGAGCCCAGGTTGTTTAAAACATCCTAAAAAGAAAAAGAAAAACCCCAAAACTTAATATAAACAATTTACAAATATACATCTGACAAAACAATAAAGAGTAATTATCATGTCCAAAATAATATGATGAATGTACATTGGTTTGTATTCCTAATAGAGAAAAAAATACTTTAGGAATTAAAGTAAACAAGTCATTATGATGAACTGTTTTAATACAATTTAAGCAATGCACTCATTAATTTCCAACAGGTTTGGCAAACCCTGAGGAGGAAAAAGGAAAAAATACTAATTAGAAAAAGGGTTAAGATATGACAAACATTAAAGCAAATTATTAAATGACTTTCATCAAAGTTATCCAGGTGGCTCAAAACATTCAGAAGAGAATCCCCGACCACAAAGACATTAAATTTTATCAACATTAGCAAAAATAATGATGTTATTTTTATTAGGGAATGAGATTGTTTTTTCCAGTTTGCCTGCATTTAACAAGTTATTAAGTCCTTCATCACTGAAGCCAAGCTCATGAAAACATATTGCTCCTCCTGTTAGGTGGGAGTCATTAGGGTTTAGTTTGGGAAAGCAACGAATGTGCCAAATCAGACTGTAGTTTTGTGTAGCATCTGTCAGCATCCCTCCGTGCTTCACTGGCAAAATATACCTGCTGAACAAGAAAGACTTTGCAAACCTATCGTATTTTCCCTCTTCTCTCTCAGTAACAAAGAAAGGCAGCCCATAACTAAAGGTCTGAATCACAAGTTCATCAAGATATAATAATAATAATACATTTTATTTGTAAGCGCTTTTAACAAATGCTCAAAGACACCTTACAGTTTTTTAAAAATCATAAAATAGAGCTAAGTCAGAATAAAAACAGCAATGAAACAGTATAAAACACACAAACTTATACATTAAAAGCTCATTTAAAAAGGTGAGTTTTGAGCATGGTCTTGAATGTTGGGAGGTGAGTGCAGATACATATGGGTTTGGGGAGTGAGTTCCAGAGGGAGGGGGCAGCAATGGAGAAGGCCCTGTCCCCCCAGGTTCGGTGCTTGGTCCATGCAGGTAGTGAGAGGAGATTTCCTTCAGATGAGCGGAGGTCGCGGCAGGGGGTGTGGTGGTGGAGTAGGTGTGTGAGGTAGGAGGGGGCCTGGTTGTTGAGTGCTTTGTGTGTGAGGAGGAGGATTTTGAACTGTATGCGATGTGCGATGGGGAGCCAGTGTAGGTTTTGGAGGACAAGGGTGATGTGGTCTTGGAAGCGGACCATTATATGTTATATGATATAACATCAGTTCTCTGGACAATGATATGATACATTCTGATATCACAAGGTCTGCCACAGGGGCCTACAATTGACATGAGACAACATCAGTATGTCGGTGAAGATTCTCAGTCATCCAGGTCATGGTATTCGTAGGTTCTTATCGTAGGCAACTGGACTTTCTTGAAGACGTTTCTTGAAGACGTTTCTTAAAGACATTTCTTGAAGACATTTCTTAATGAAACTCAAGCAAGTCCAGTTGCCGACGATATAGCACTTATGACAACATCAGTAAATATCCTAATCGTGTTGTTGTTTCAGTGTTTCGGAAGGAGGTGTGCTTGGATGGAAATAGTGACACAAACGTGCCCTGGGAATTCTTCAAATAAAGGCGCATCTCAAAGATGACGATAGTTTCACTTTGCATGGATGATACTGAATTGTTGATCATTAAATTAATACACTGATCCAGATTGATGTATCACTACACCCCCAGACATTACTTAGCGATGTGATGATCAAACACTGTATTCACAATCCAAACTTTCAAAAGCATTTTTTGGATTACATTAATTCAATTTTAATTCATTTCTAACAAAATGTGCCCTCTTAGCACTAAGAACATGACATGTTTTTTTTTTTTTTTTTTTTACAGGGAACAGGATGTTGTTTGCCAGTAAAACAGAGCTAATAATGCTGTTATCCTCCCTTGAAACAAAGGAAGATATCAGTAGCATGAACAGCATCTCACCTGTGTCCCCTTGCCTTTGGCTACCTCCCACATTTCAAACCACATGAAATAAAACACAATGAATGTACCACCAACCACTCTAAGACATCTGATACACACAAAAAAACAGATCTACAGTGTGTGTGTGTGGTGTGTGTGGAGCTGCATTTTTTCTCATGACAGACCTTCAAATACAGGAGTAAATAAACGTAGACATCAGTGTTTTCTGAATTTCACCACTAGTTATTCAAGAGCACCATAAAAATCCATGTTTTACAAACATCCCTGCACCCTGTGTGGCCCTGGATTATCAACAGTATCCTCACTCACAATATAGCTTTAATATTTCTTGAGAAGCCACCACAAAATCTCCACTTGTAATCTTCCAGTGAATGCTCCCATGTTCTGGGTATTATCATGAGGTTATAATGATGCATGATGCTCCTTTTGGTTCAGCCACATTTCAAAAGTCAATGCTGCCATCTGATGGTTGTCAAGGAGAAACCCACTGCAGGGGAAAGTTGTGGCTACACGAATAAAAATGAGGAAATGGATTGATTAAAACACCACATGTCCTTGCATCAGAGACTGTGAATATTGCTGCTAATTACTGTAGCAGGGAACTAAATTGTAAAAAAATGGACTTGCTTGAACGTTTTCACTCAATAACACACACACACACATCCAGGTGAGGCGAAGAACTCTCACCAACAGCAGGTTCTTTCCAATTACAGTGGACCTGAAGTGATGTCACAAAACCAAGGACAAGTAGTAATACTTGCAGATAATGCTGCCCATTTGATTTAGATAGCAAACCATATAGGTGCACTATTAGACCTAAGACAAATACCGATAATAATGAGCACCAGTGTTTTTTTAATCTCATACAGCATACAGAATTGTCCTGATGCAGCAACTCTCAGCAGCCTAATAACCGCACAAGGCCAAAAACACTAATTATTCACAATGAGTAGTGCTTTCACCTGATTCTGAGATCATTTTTTCACCTGAAACAACCTTTAAGACAAGATTTTCAAAATAAAGATAAGTGGGTGATGCTTACTACAGGCTTTCAGAGCCCTTAATACGGGCTGAGAGGCTCTGTGTGAACTTTTGTGCACTTAAAATATGAAAAACTTACAGCAAAGCAAATATAAGGAGCCGAAAACTATGCGCCTGTCTCGCGGAGTATCTGCAGATGCAGATGGATCCGAAAATCCAATAACCAGCTCTGTTCGGCTCTCATCACTGTTGTTTGGACATACACAATCTCACAGCCACACTCTGTATTGATTTCATCCCATCGGAGTACGAAAGCCTCGATGCTTAGTGACATGCCTAACTATTCAACCACACCTCCGTGCGTATGTGTGTGCACGCGAGGGGGAGAGATTTTCCAAACAGCTAAATCAATGTTCTCCAAGGCCATACCTACATAAAGCCATTGTGGTCTGGGTACTGTATAAGTGTGTAACACTATATCACTGTTTTTACACCATATGCTCGGCGCAGTTACCATCAGAAAAAGACCAGAATGCATTTCAGCGTAATGCTATTGAGCAGAAGATCTCATCTCAGGCATTAAAGCTAATAGCTAAAGGTATTGGAAAAGAAATGAAGACCCATACTGTGTGCCACTACTGCACACAGACTTCATTTGAAGCTAAATTACCCATTTTAATGTGACCCTCTAACCACAGAAATGTATTAATATCATTTTACAATCCAGAGATGTCGCCTTTTTACCTCGCTCATGCAATTTGAGTGAGTGTAATCCTTGAGTTAATAGAGATAATATCAGATTCAGGTCTCATTAACAGATGGCTCCATCTCGTAACTGCCAAGCAGAATGACATCCAAAACAGGGATAACAGGAAGCAAGAGGTTCTTTCTGTCCATTAAAACCCACTGGTTTCTGTTCAAACACTGTGGAAATCACAAATACAGTCTATGAAAATTACATTTATTCGGTGCTCTAGGGTGATAAATGCATTAAGATCCAGGGAGAGAGATTTGGCTTTGCAGCCAGGTATTATAGCTGCTAGCGATGGAAAAATATACGGACTAACAAATGACTTTTATTCTGTGTGAGCAGACGCTTCACAGCCAGTTGTGTTTACAACGTGCCTGAGGGAACAAAGGATTGAATGTCCAGTCAAATCCAGAAATCTGTTTGTTGCATGAAAACCCACACTGTCTTACTTACACCACCTCACTTCTTTTTTTTAAATCTACTCCTGTAAATGCAGAATAATCACTTATCTCAGAGCAAAGCAAACACTCATTTCATATTCAACAAGCAATGGCATTTAAAATGTAAGACAGATAAATCTCAGTAAATCCCAGTGCTTTATACTGTTGACTTTGTTAGCAACAGGATCCATATTTTCACCATCGCCATAAATTTGAGGTGCATATTTTAATTCAGGGTTCCTATCGTGTATTGTAAAGACTATGACTTTAGAAGAATATGTTGTGACTGAGGCGGTTGTGGCAGAAAATATGTTGACAATCATAACTTATCTTCATAAATCTACATTCCCTGCTTCTGCAATATGTTGTGGGGACGTACAAAGGATTGCTAGAGGATTAACAAAGGCTCACTGGAGGGAATCCACATGTCTGTTGACCTTTTCATACAACAACAGCAGACATTTTGACATATAGCAGGAAAGGAGGGGTGTCATTAATAACATGAAACAGGATTCCTCAGCCTGGAGAGTATTGCACATGCTAGACCAGAGGAATGGCTTGGATAGGTGAGGTCAGACCTGGTTTTGCTTCCCATTTATTTCTATGCAGAACAGCGTGAGACATATTTGCCTCTTTCACGTCTTGTAGCAACTTTTATCATTAAAAATTTGACCTGCAGGACTGTTACAGCCAGGCAGACAGAGGGAGTGGGATTGACCTCTTGTTTGATAGAAACAGAAATAAGAATATCACGTATAAATCTAGAAATTCATGTAAATAAAGTCACAGCCTCTCACACAAAATGGCAGATACGTAAATAGTACAGCGCAAAACATTACAACAAA